TGAGGCCCTGGGTTCAATTCCTCAGCACCACATAAGCAGGAAAAAAAAAAAGCCAGAAGTGGTTCTGTGGCTCAAGTGGTAGACTGCTAGCCTTGAGCAGAAGAGCTGAGAGACAGCGCCCAGGCACAGAGTTCAGGCCCCATGATTGGACCCAAAAAAAAATAAAATTAAATTAATAGAAGTAATTATTAAGCTGGACCTGACAAAAGTAGGTGGTATTTCTTGAGCCTAAGAATTTGTGACCAGCCTGGGCAACATAGCAAGCCCTTTTATCCAACAAAACATAACAAAAACTAAATTCATTTTATGAATATTGCTTTCTAAAACACACTCTTATTTTTATCCTCAGTTATTTTCCTCCCATCAGCCCTAGGGGTAAGTAAAAACAGATGAAGTTCATCCCTATTTTATAGAATAAAAACTAGAGAGGCTACATGGGAAATAACACTCCAGTTTATAGGTTTTCAACTTCGTGTCCTTTTCATAGGCCAGATGCAGGTATCTGGCAACAATAACAGCAGTTACCATTTATGAACTCGTATCATGTCAGGCATTCTATATCTATCATCTTATTTTATCTTAGTTTGGTATGTGTGTGTGTCTGTGTGCGCATGCATGCATGCATGCTGGTATAAAGGCTTGAACTCAAAGCTTCATGCTTTTGCTTGTTTTTATTATAGTGAGTACTCTGTCATGTAAGCCATGTGTGTCCACTTCTGGTTTTATGCTGGCTATTGAAGTTAAGAGAGTCCTGATGTCTTATCTTCCCTTGCTGGCTCCAAACTAAGATTGATTGTCAAGTCTCAACTTTTCTGAGTAGCTAGAATTAAAGATATGTAGCCACCAGCACATGGCTTTAATCTCCTCAGTCATTTGAATATAGGTACTTTATATGGGGGCTTGAACTCAAGGCCTTGTGCTCTCTTGGCTTTTTTCACTCAAGGCTAGCACTCTACCACTTGAGCCACAGCTCTAGGTGCTTTTGTGAGGTTTTTTGTTTGGTTTGTTCTGGTTTGCAGGACCTGGGGCTTGAACTCCGAGTTTGTGTGCTTTCGCTGACGTTTTGTGCTCAAATCTGTATCACTTGAGCGACAGCTCTGCTTCTGGCTTTTTGTGGTTCATTAGAGATAAGGGTCTCATGGGTTTTTCTACCTGTGCTGGCTTTTGTTCCTTAGATCTCAGCCTCCTGAGTAGTTAGGTTTACAGGTGTGAGCCACTGGTGCCCAACATGTACCTGCTTTTTTTTTTTTTTTAAACTGAGATCTAGAGAAGCTGTAATACATTTTATCAGGACTCGGACTTGCCTTTCTCAGTAAAAGCCTGTGCCCTTCATTCTTCTTGACCTAGGCCTGTTCCTATCTGACTGAAGTTCTTCTGAATATTCTCAGAAAGACTTTTGAGGCTGGTTTTCCCTCAGCTGAAACCCTAGATCCACCAAACTACCTCTCAGAATACAGTCCATCAGAAAGATGGGTAGAAAGTGTTGAAAGGAAAATCTCTTGCTTTGAGAAGCAGAAATTGATCTCCATGCCTTTCATCAGTTCCTTTCCATTCTCTGTTAGAAGGAAACCATGTGCCTGTGGATTCAAGATTCCCTTCTGCTTGCTCCCTACAGCTGAACATATCTTTTAGGTTTCCTGAACAATAGCAGTTTTAATAGTGCTTTTAATTAGATGAATTAAGAATGTTCTCTAATGTTATCACCCCCTCCCGCCCCCCTATCACCTCCAATTCCCCATTGCTGTGCAAGCTGGGGAAAATTTCCATGGTAACAGGGCTACCAACCCAGGTTGCCTCTCGCTGGTTGTTCTGGCCAGAGGAAAGTTATGGGCAGTCCTTCCCAGTGTGGTGGGCACTGCATGAGGCTGATGCCAAAGAAGCTAGATGGGAAGAGCAGAAAACTCTTGAGAGTACATCAGCTAGGCTTCTAGAATGCCCTGGAAGAGACCTAGCTCTCACCAAAAATAAGAGGGTCCTACCTTCCCCTTTCCCACAAGCTCTCCCACAGAAGTTAATGATCAGCTCATATCCAGCGTGTCTTTTTTCTCTGTGGTTAATTTATTTCTCCTTGGATTTTGTTGTTTTTGGTAACATTTCTCCTATTGTCTTTTCTTCTCTCTTTCCCACCCAGAGAGTTTTCAATGTCCTTTACCCAATGCCTGCTGACCAGCGGAGACATGTAAGCATCAATTCTGCCCGTTGGCTGCCTGAGCCAGGGCTTGGCCTGGCCTATGGCACCAACAAAGGAGACCTGGTGATCTGCCGACCAGAGTGAGTTGCTCAGGATGGGAGATGGAGGTTTGCAGGGATGGGAGTTAAGAGTATCTCTGCCAAGGTGTAGCATGAACAGGGTTCATCTGAAGGCTATTTTTAAACTATCAGTTAAAATTGTTGGAAGGGGAGTATAGCATCCTCCTGCCCAGGGAATTCTTAGGCTCCTTGAAGAAATGGAGTTAGCTCTCCATCCAGATACTATCACAAAGCTGCTTTAGAGACTGTCTTCTTGAGTCAAGCAGTATTTATTTTCTTTTTTTTGTCTCTTGTTTCCTGGTTTCTTAGTAAAGTCTCTGCAGACAAAAACAGATTCTTTTTAAAACCTTTTCTCAAAATTTTACTTGACAGTTTAGAGTTAATGCTGTGGACATTAATTTAGAGAATAAAATGGAAATAAGGTATTGTTAAAACCCTAATTTGTCAAGCCACTGATCTCTAACAGCTTGTCCCTGTGTTCTGCCTGTTTTTCTTTTTGCTTGAAGCTGTAGTTCTTAATAGTGAAGGCAGACTTAAAAGCTCAATTTAAAGTCAAAATGATTATTATCTTGCCTTAAATTAGGGAGTAGGAGGAGACAGGGAGCCAAAGCATTTCTGTCCTGATGACATTCCTTTCCCTTCCTCTGACTTTTTGGAGGATAGGTGTCTATCCAGGCATTTGTTCAGTTAAGACCCTTGGGGATCAGCCTGATTTGTCATCAATTTCTAGACCCAGCCAGGTGGGGAGTGTGAAGCTCTGTGCTTCACTGCAGATCACTCTTGATTGCTGTGTGGGACACTGCAGGGTTCCAAGCAACTAAATGCCACTTCTGCCTCTAGGCTGTCCTAATGCTGTCCTTCACTTGGTGCAGAGTCTTCTAGGGTGTTCTGTAGATCACAGAGCATGATGTGACTAGTATCACAGGAATCTCTGGCTATTTCAGAAAGTCCTTGGTGAGTTATCCTAGAGTATATATTTGGATCCATTCCTGTCTGGTAAGTTGAGTAATGATTGACCCATGTCAACTGAGTTAGGTCAGTAACTATGGAGAGAGAACCTGATTTTAAAATCAGACTACTCTTAGCAAGGAGAATACCTTCCTCTGCTAGCTGCTTCTCTCTTCAGCATGTGTGTCCAGAGAACATCCTTCACTACTTTCTGTGCCTTTCCAGTTTGCCTCTTTCATGACTCTGCCATTTGTTATCTAGGGTTCTGCATCTATCAATTTCTACTCATCCCTCAGGCTGTCCATACATGATCCAGGATCAGTGAGTCTTGAAATATTTCTTTTTTTGGGGGGGGGTCCAGTCGTGGGGCCTGAACTCTGGGCCTGGGCGCTGTCCCTCAACTCTTCAGCTCAAGGCTAGCACTCTACCACTTGAGCCACAGCACCACTTCTGGCTTTTTTTTTTCTTTTTGCTTATGTGGTATTGGGGAATCGAACCCAGGGCCTCATGCATGCAAGGCAAGCACTCTATCACTGAGCCACCTTCCCAGCCCCTTGAAATATTTCTTTTATCTCATTCTCTCCTTAGGAATTCATAAGAAGAATTTAGTAGACCTCATTTCCAAAACTGGTGCAGAATTCTGGACTATTATTTCACTTTATAACAGCACTCTAGTTGCAAGTCTTCCTTCCCCTCTTTCTCAGAGATCTCTTTCCTCCACCAGTGTTGTCTATGACTCCTGCCACATACATTGGTCCCAAGCAAAGTCCCAGCCCAGTCCCTTGCAAAGTGGTCTGCCCTCATAGAGGGAGAATCTCTATCTTATTTTGTTGTGGCCTCCTCAAAGGTGTCATGTCTGAAACCCCAGCCCACATACTTGGTATGAGTCACAGACTCCTTAGCCAAGCATGAAGCTGGCTGTGGCCTCGATTTTCTCTTTTCTCTCCATATGTTGTCTTCAGCATTCCAGAGTCTCAGGAAGCTAAGTCTTCTTGGGCTGCCTGGGGGATTCTTACTCAGCAGGAGCTCAAAACTCTTCCTCAAGGAAGATGGCAACTAGCACTAGACATGTGGAACAGTGTCTCATCACAGACCAAGAAGACACTAATTTAGCCCATCTTTTTAGTGCTATTTCTTTTGATTTCCTGAGTTCCTGAAGCCTGGAAATTTAGGACCCAATATAAATCTGATGTGGATGTGACTTTGTCCTAAGTTCTTCAAAGCTTCCCCAGTTCTCAGTCCCTTTCATATCTTAATCACCTTTATATCTCTTTTTGGCTTTAAAGCCTAAAACAAGCTGCTGTTCTCCCATGGTAGAAATGGAGAACATTTGCCCCATGGGTCCTATAAGAACTACAGAATCCTTTGGTACATAGCAGGGCAGACATATTTGCTTCCTGTCATCTGCTACTGGCTGTCTGCTTATATGGCCTGCAAATGATGTTAAGAATACTCAAATAGAGCCAGGCGTTGGTGGCTCACACCTGTAATCCTAGCTACTCAGGAGGCTGAAATCTGAGGATCACAGCTCAAAGCCAGCCCAGGCAGGAAAGTTTGTAAGATTCTTCTCTCCAATAAACCACCAGAACACCAGAAGTGGCGCTGCGGCTTAAGTGGTAGAGCACTAGTCTTGAGCTAAATTGCTGAGGGACAGTGCCCATGCCCAGAGTTCAAGCCCCATGACTAAAATACATATATTCAAATGGCCTTTGACAGAAAAAAAGGTTCCTCATCCCTGCTTTAGGCAAAGAAAACAGAACAATATACAGATGAGGATTAAGACTCACCCAAAGCCTTCAGAAAGATTATTGCCAGAAGTGGGCTTCCTAACTTTCCAATCCAGACCTTTTTCCTATATCTGTTTCTTACCGTTTTTTCCACCCCCCAAAAAAAATCCTTTAAAGTTCTCACAAAAGCAGTATATTCTTCTGCAGAAAAATATACCACAGGAATACACATACATGTTTTGTAACTTTATGCTGTCTGGTAAAGAGCCATTTTAGATTATGTTTAAGCAGGTCAGGTGGTTTGTACAAAGGGAAATGGGAGGATAATTGAGAGCAGTGACATCTTTTCAACAGTCTATGATTGGTCTCTGGCCTAGAATAAGAAAAACAAATAAATAGGAAAATAGGAGCTCGGGTGGTTATCTTTTTTCTTGAGCAGCTGCCTAAGGCTTGCTGCCTGTCTGTGGGTGACGCAGCTCCCTGGTACACCCATTCCCAAGGGCACAGTATCCAAGCCTGCCAGCTGGGCAAGATTGTAGCCCTCCCCCTGAAACAGGTGGTTGTCTGCCTTTGTCCAGACACAGGCAGCTGCGCCGCATTTTGTGCTGTCAGTGCTGTTCTTGATTCTCCTCCATTGTCAGCCTCGGCACTGTCACCAAGCACAAAGCAAGGAATGAGCTCCTTGGGATCCTTGGTATTATAAAACCTGACTTGACAGTAGATAAGAGCTTAGAGAATTGTTTCTTGCCAGGGGAGGGAGTGCTTAAGTGAGAAGATGAAAAACTAGCCCTTGAGCCTCTACTAAACCATCATATCATGGTGGCTGATAGCCTAGTCACCTGCCCTTTTAGGCCTTTTCTCCTGGCTCTCTCACCTTCTCTCCTGACGGTCCGGCCCCCCCTTGCCATTTCCAAATAGTTGTGAAGGACCAGGCTGATTTGAGGGAGTTCTTACCCATTTCTGACTTCATGGGTCAGCCATGTAATAGGATAGAGGAGAGGCATTACTGAACGGTCATTGCTTTTCAGAATCAGCTTAGAAGATTGATAGCAGATGAGAAGTAGTCTGAGCCTGGGGCATTTGGCACCTTGGCCAAGTGTGACAAAGCTCCAGCTCTGTCCCTTCAGAGGGAGCCACCAGTGTAAATGGTAATTATAATCAAGTATCATTGCCCAGGAAGGGAAAGGCACACATCTGGATGAAAAGGGAACCAGAATTGCTGCAGAGCCTCCATCTTTCAGGCTAGTCCAAGAGAGCCAGGTGTTTGCTCTTTCTCACATCTCAGCAACAGTGTAGATAAACACCAATCTTAGAAACAGTTCTTCTTCCAAATAGACAGCCTGAGACTGACAGATGAAAGAATATCCTCAAAGGAAATATCCCCCAAAAGTTGGAACATTTAGAGCTGTAAGTTAGCATCACTGAGGAAGCCAGCCTGGCTTTTTAGTGTGTTCAAGGAGCCCAGCCCTAAGGAAGATTTTGATGTTGTTGTTGTTGTTGGTCTTAGAGCTTGAACTATGGGCCTGGGCCCTCTCCCTCAGCTCTTCAGCTCAAGGCGAGCGCTCTATGGCTTGAACCACAGCTCCCTTCTGGTTTTCTAGTGGTTTATTAGAGATAAGAGTCTCACGGACTTTCCTGCCTAGGCTGGCTTTGAACTGTGATCCTCAGATCTCAGCCTCCTGAGTAGCCAGGATTACAGGTGTGAGCCAGTGGCACCCGACCCTATGGAAATTTTAAGCCATGTACTCTTACAGATGGATGTTGCTGAAGGAAGCCAAGAGTTAAAGTGGAAATTTGTCTAAAAAGGCTGCCCCTCATTGGCCTTCCTACTCTTCTTCATCCCTTTGTATATTTGTCTAGATCCTAAGAAGAGCCAAAAATAAACAATGACTCATTCAGCCTTTCTAAGATTCAAGAAAGAGAGTGTTGGTTGGGATCATTATTTAGTTTCCAGACAGAAATAAGTGATACTTGGGCTGGGAAGGTGGCTCAGTGGTAGAGCGCTTGCCTTGCATGCCTGAGGCCCTGGGTTCGATTCCTCAGCACCACATAAGAAAAAAGCCGGAAGTGGCGCTGTGGCTCAAGTAGTAGAGTGTAGCCTTGAGCTGAAGAGTTGAGGGACAGCGCCCAGGCCCAGAGTTCAGGACCCACGACCGGACTGGGTATTGAAGGCTGAGTTTCAGCTACCAGAGAGGTGTCTCCACCTCTTACTGACACAGTACCCAGAATTAAAGTCAGATCCAGGGGCTTGCTGTCATCAGGCACTCTGGCCACAGAAAGAGCAGGTAGGTAAGGATTAGAGCTGTTTGTGGAGGGTGGAGGCCTGGGAGATAGAGTGGAGCAGCACATTGCACCAGTTCATATGGCTACTTCAAGAAGTAAACTGGAGGGGCTGGGAAGGTAGCTCAGTGGTAGAGCACTTGCCTTGCATTCCTGAGGCCCTGGGTTCGATTCCTCAGCACCATATAAGCAGAAAAAGCCAGAAGTGGCGCTGTGGCTCAAGTGGTAGAGCACTAGCCTTGTGCTGAATAGCTGAGGGACAGTGCCCAGGCCCAGAGTTCAGGCCCCAGGACCAGAAAAAAAAAAAAAAAACACTTCATCTCCAATTGATTACTCAAAAAAAACCAGAAGTGGCGCTATGACTCAAGTGGTAGAGCACTAGCCTTGTGCTGAATAGCTGAGGGACAGTGCCCAGGCCCAGAGTTCAGGCCCCAGGACCAGAAAAAAAAAAAAAAAACACTTCATCTCCAATTGATTACTCAAAAAAAACCAGAAGTGGCGCTATGACTCAAGTGGTAGAGCACTATCCTTGAGCAAAAAGAGCTCGGGGACAGTATCCTGAGTTCAAGGCCCACAACTGACACCCCCCCCCAAAAAAAAAAAAACAGAGCTGGGCACTGGAGGCTCATACCTATAATCATAGCTACTCAGGAGGCTGAGATCTGAGGATCATAGTTCAAAGCCAACTCAGGAAGGAAAATCCATGAGACTCTTATCTCCAATAAACTACTCCAAAAAAGCAGGAAGTAGTGCTATTGCTCAAGTGATAAAAAGCACTAACCTTCAACAAAAGAAGCTCGAGGACAGAGCCCAGGCCCAGAGTTCAAGCTCCAGGACCAGCACAAAAAAGAAAAAGAAACCCAGTCTTTGGCTCCCAGCTGATAGTGCATGCTGCCTAGATGAAATGCAATTTAAGGGGCTCTTGGCTACCAGCATTATGTTAACTGCCCCAGCTTAGACATCAGGCCTTCTTATGGCCTCTTTCTTTCTTTCTTTCTTTCTTTCTTTCTTTCTTTCTTTCTTTCTTTCTTTCTTTCTTTCTTTCTTTCTTTCTTTCTTTCTTTCTTTCTTTCTTTTTTTTGGTCAGTGTGGGGCCTGAACTCTGGGCCTGGGTGCTGTCCCTGCGCTCTTCAGCTCAAGGTGAGCGCTCTACTGCTTGAGCCACAGTGCCACTTCCGGCTTTTTCTGCTTATGTGGTGTTGAGGAATCGAACCCAGGGCCTCATACATACAAGGCAAGCACTCTACCACTGAGCCACCTTCCCAGCCCCTTATGGCCTCTTTTCTAAGACAGGAAGAAAGTTCTGGTCACATAGAACACAGTTTGATGTAGGTTCAACATGAACAGCTTGTCACTAACCAGCTCTAGCTAGCAGGAATTACAGAGAAGGGATTTGGCAAGGGCCCATGTGGTATTGCAACCTGTCAATAAATCTTGACAAGTTTGTAAATCAGAGGCTTCTTGGCAGCTGGCTTCACATGATGCCTAATGCAGTCAGGATTGCTCACCAAAAGTACAGCAGTGGCTCCATGGAGGGCTCTGCAATTTGCTTCTGGACATTTGGCTCTTCCCTAACACTAGGTCACATTACTTTACCTTCTCGTATACATGGAAATAATGCTGTTATTTACACTCCTTTTTGTCTAGTGACAATCTTCCTGTCAGCGTTGTTCAAGGCTGCCCTCGAACTCAGAATCTTCCCACGTCAGCATCAAGTGCTGGAATTACAGGCATGGGCCACCATGCCCAACTAAGGCAACACTTTTTAAAAGTAGTCAACGGATCATGAAGGCCCTTTAGCAGAAGCTAGGAGAGAGGTGGCACAAAAGAAAGTAATAACACTTTGTTGTGACTCTTCCCTCTTAAAAAAACAAGTGTTTTGGCAGGTGAAGCCTATACCCAGCATGAAAGGCATCTATAGCCAGATCTGAAGCTTAAATACCTAGGCCTGTTGGCTTATGGCTAAGGTAGCCCTACTTTCTTCCTTTCTTCCTTATGAGGCCACTATTGTCTGATACTCATGTTGAGAAAATAAGCCTCTCATTTTTTCCCCTTACTCACCCTTCCTTGTAGCCCCCTAGCTTTCAGGTGTGCTCCCCGCTGGGGGCCGGTGGCTCACGCCTGTAATATTGGCTAGTCAGGAGGCTGAGAAGATCAGAGTTCAAAGCCAGCCCAGGCAGGAAACTCCATGAGACTCTTTTTTTTGTTGTTGTTGGTGTGGGGGCCTGAACTCTGGGCTTGGGTGCTGTCCCTCAGCTCTCAGCTCAAGGCGAGAGCTCTACCACTTGAGCCACAGTGCCACTTCCAACTTTTTTTTTAATTTTATTTGTGAACATACTGTACAGAGGGGTTACAATTACATGGGCAGGATAATGCGTACATTTCTTACCAAGCATTGCAGCCTCCTCCTTTG